AGCTGGGGTGACAGAGGAGCCACACTGTCCCGCCCCACCGCCCTGGGTCGGGTCGCACACCGGACGCCAGGGGGGGTCGGCCTGCTGCCCCGGGTGGCAAATAGCAGGCCCGGATGGCGGCATGGCAGGAGGGATGGCACTGTCCTGCCCTGCCTGCAGTATGCAAATTAACCGCCATCTTTGATGGCGGTTAATTTGCATATCGTGCTGATTAGCCAATGGGAGGCGTAGCGAAGGTATGGTCAATTACCATGTTTGTCTATTATTAGATAGGATATTTGTATATGCACATAAAATCTGGAAGGTAAACTTAACTGAAGGAGGGACTTTTATTTTTACTTTATATTCTTCTAAATGGTATAAATTATTTACAGTAACACTATAATAACATATAATTAAAATTCACTTTAAATATTGAAAATACATACTTTGTGCTAGACATAATAGAGTCCCATCCTTGAAATCTATACTAATAATAGCCTAGGGCCACCACGTCCAGATGACCGACCAGTCACCATGAGGGGACCCCACTTGGATGGGGGCATGGCTGGACTTCAAACCACCTGGTGGCCTCTAGCCCAGGCAGGGGAGGTGCTGGGGGCTGGGCGTATGCATGCAGTCTTTTAAAAATAAAGAAAGGGCAAGTGGCGACGTTGGCATCCCCGGAGTCAGTGGCAGGCAGCAGTGATGGCCCTGGCACCGGTGGCAGTGATGGCCCAGGCACGGATGGCAGTGGCCAGGGGGGCGGCATGGATGCCCACGGCGCCGGCTGGGGCATCACCGTGGCCTCAACCCCAAAATGGCACTGCTGACCGAGCACCTGCTGAAGCCGCTGCCCAAGGACAAGCAGATGGAGACCAGGCCCTTCCTGGAGGCGGTGTCCCACATGCCACCCTTCTTCGATTGCCTTGGGTCCCCAGTGTTTATGCCCATCAAGGCAGACATAAGTGGTAACATCACAAAAATCAAAGCTGTGTACAACATGGACCCGGCCAAGTTCTGGACCCTGCAGAACATCCTGGAGGCAGAAAAGGAAATGTATGGAGCAGAGTGGCTCAAAGTGGGGGCCACGCTGGCACTGATGTGGCTGAAAAGGGGCCTCTGCTTCATCCAGGTCTTCCTGCAAAGCATCTGCGACAGGGATCAGGACACTAGCCACCCCAACCTCATCCACCTCAACACCACCAAGGCCTACAAGATGGTGCTCAAGAAGTACCACAGCTGGATCTTGCAGATCTTCCAGGCAGCGCTGTATGCCGGGCCCTACAAGTCCGCACTCTCCAAGGGACAGAACGTGATGGAGGAGTGCCTGGAGAAGGTCCGCCTGTTCCTGGCCAAATACACAGCCACCATTGACATCATCTACAAGATGATGTAGGCGTGCCCAGAGGCTGGCACTCCCAGAAACAGACAAGCC